TTAACTGTGATGAAGCCAGCTGTTACAGAGCGGGTGGAGTCACTCAGAGCTGATTTAATTACTTTCATATTAGAATAGTTCTGATTAAATAAAGAAACAATGGTCCAACAGTTGAGCTGCGTCGGAGCTCCGAGGTTAAACTGTGTGTGGGTTGAATTTGTCCTCGACCGACCGTCTGATAACTGATTCTTCTTCTCTGGAACCGGCTGGTTTCCACCGTATTTCCTGTGAAGATGATGATGAAGATGATGAATATTTGTGGTCCTGTGTGAGAACCCGTCTGGCTCTCACTGATGTTTTATCAGAGTCGTCGCTGTGAGTCAGGTTTCGTTCAGAGGAAGTTTAAATGTCAGCCTGATGATGCGTTTACTGACTGTCAGGAAAGTTGAGTCATTAGGTGACGTGAGTGAGTAACTGGTTTAAACTGGTTGTTCTGGTCTGACAGCAGTTTATCTGGCTTCATTCATCTGTTGTTCAGTCTTTATTCATTCATAAGAATCATTTAAATACACTTTATTCATACTTTATATATTTATATAATATAATTTAACTGTAGTTTTGTTTCTGTTGTGGATAATCAGTTGGTAACCAGATCTTATATCAGCTGATACTGGAGGATGGTAATAATCAATATCTGGATCTGGAATGATTAGTTGATTAGTCGATTGACAGAAAAGTAAATAATTGTTATTTATTGTTTGTTTTAATGAATAAAAATTACATAATTGGTTCTAGGTTCTCAGATGTGAATGTGTCATATTGAGGTAATTAGATAATAAGTGATTGTTAGACGAGGCCCTGATGATATTTTCAGATCATTAAAATAAATGTTTCAAACTACTTTAAATGTTCTTTTACGGATATTTTTTTAATGCTTTTATTTTGAAAACATTCCACCATGTTCCTACAGTAGCCCAGAATAAACGAACCAGCTGTTTGCTGCTGTGAGATTAAATGATTCATCTACACATATAAAACAGTCAGATTGGTGTGTGTGTGTGTGTGTGTGTGTGTGTGTGTGTGTGTTTTTTTAAATAAATTCATCAGCATTAAATGAGGTTTGTTACACATTCTTCCTCCAGACATCAAACAGTGAAACACTCAACATCGTTTAATCTGGTTATTCCTGTTAATCAGCTGACCTGTCTGTCTGTCTGTCTGTCTGTCTGTCTGTGGGTCAGCTGACCTGCAGCTCTCTATGGTTTAGTGCTGCGACGTACAATAATAATAATAATGTTCATTATGGATCAATCAGTCGATCAGTTTGATCCATAAATTGTTGATCAGTGTTTCCATTTACATATTACTGTCAGAGACACTAAACACAATGAATCAATTATCAATATAGGTGGTGCTTAATTTAATAATCAACTAATCGATTAATTGATCAGTTAGTGAAAAAAAGTGTCTGTTGAGTTAGTGTGTCAGTGAATGCATCACCACAGTGTGTGTGTGTGTGTGTGTGGGCTCTGTGTGTGTGTCTGTCTGTCTGTCTGTCTGTCTGTGTGTGTGTGTGTCTCTGTGTGTGTGTGTGTGTGTGTGTGTGTCTCAGATTATCGGCAGCATGAACTCTTCTTTTGTTTCGAGTCACAATCTGATAAAGTGGTGAAAGTAAAAACTGGAGTTCAGAAATGATACAGAATCTAAAAATAATAATAATAATAATAATAATTATTATTCTATAATAATTAAAGTCAGTGTGTTTAATAATCAGCTAATTGCTGAAATAATCTGAATTAATGTGAATAAATCGTCTGTTCACATATTTTATATCAGAAACAATCAGTAATCAATAATAACCAAATCAGGTGGTGATAGAGCTGATCGTCGTGCAAGGCATTGTGGGTAGTGAGGGCAATGTAGTTTGGTAGAAATCAAATAGAACAACAGATTGATCGATTAATAACAGATTGATTGATCCCGTCTGCAGAGGGCAACGGGGCAGATGGGTAATGTAGTTTGTAACTGATGGTATGACCTTTGACTGGAGGTAATTAATCTGTCTGTCTCTGTCTGTCTGTCTGTCTCTCCAGGAGTTTATCGGCCTGTCTGATTGGACCCCGGCGATCCAGCCCCTCCCACCATGAACCCTATGAACCAGATGAAGGCTGGACTGTCCAACAACCCCCACAGGTACGAGTCTGTGTAGTCCACCTGCAGCTGGATAACATCTGGAGACATTTTATAAAGTCTCCCAACGGTGTCTTATTCTGAAAATCCTCCACTCAGAATATAATAATGAGGATTATTAAAGGGTCACCCAACAGTGATGTCACAGTGTACTGACACACCTGGAGTACACTGTGACATCACTGCAGTAACACGCTCTCTTTAATCTCTTTTGGTCAAACTGTTATTAAACAGTATTTAAAGTTTTCCTACGAACCAGCTCCTGTCTGTATTCAGGAATATGTTTCCTTCTATTAAACTCAAATATTAAAGGTTATTATATTTATATGGAAAACATTCAATAAACTATTGATTAAAGTGATCTGATAAGTTCTGTTAGATACAGTCGGTTGTTTCAGGTCGACATTTATAATGATTGTTATAAATATAGTAAAGTAAATATAAGCACACATCCTGGAAAACCTGGAAAACCCGGAATTTACAGACGAGTTTGTCACCTGTGAATTGATAATAATGATCAGATATCCAGGAATTGATCGCGCTGACTCTGATTCTCTCTGCAGTGACGGTTCGTACCCCTACGACCCCTCCAGCTGGCAGCAGCCCACCAATCAGCCCACAGGATCGCTCTCCGTGGTTACCACCGTCTGGGGAGTGACCAATCCCTCGGCCAGCCAGGTATGACATCACCAAACGGGAAGCGGCAGTGGGATTATTGATTATGGATCATTTGTACAGATGAAGATTAATAACAAAGAATTTGTTCTGTAGTTTAAGTTCATTAAGTTCTGACGTGGACCGTGTGTTTCTGTTTCAGGGTCTCGGTGGAGGGGTGATGGGGCCCGGGGGCAACCCTGGCGGGGGGCCCATGATGCAGGGCCCCGGGGGGCCGGGTATGGGCGGCGGGCCCGGAGGATACATGGGCCAGCAGGGCTACGGAGAGCCCAACAAAGGCTACATGAACCAGGGAATGTATGGCCGGACGACTGGGGGCTTACGCTGGAGGACCGGGGGGTACGCGGGGAGGTGGGTGATCAACAACACCGTCACAGATATTGATTATTGATCAGTTTCACTGCTTTTTTTTTTTATTTTTTTTTTTTTTAGGGAAACATTTAAAACTTCCTGTGTTTTATAAATTACAGTTTTATGGTCAAATAAAAATCAATCAATAATGTGACAGAACAAACTGATTAGTTCTGATCAATAATAGATAATCAGGTCTGATGATGATGTATTGATGATGTATTGATGATGTCGGTGTGTATTCACTGACCCTCGTCTCTCTCCGTCCTCAGTTACCCGTCGAACCCCGGCGGCTCACAGAGGTTCCGCTGACTTCACTCAGGCTGCCGCCGCCGCCGCCGTTGCTGCCGCCGCCGCCACGGCGACCGCCACCGCCACGGCAACCGTCGCTGCCATCCAGGAGAAACAAAACCAGGAAATGAACTACGGACAGGTGAGGAGGCCACAGGTACAGTCGCTGCTCCCTCTGCTGGAGGACTTCACCTCACGGTTGATTCTTTATTCATGTTCCTGCCAGTCGGACGCCACCCGAGCTGAAGGTCGTTTCAGACGTTTAACAGCTGATTCCTTAAATCCAAACAACACGTCGGTCCGTCTCTCAATACCGTCTCACTTCCTGTCTGCACATTGGTTCCTACCGATGTTTCAGTGTAATTTCAGCGAACAGGAGATTTGTTGTTGCGTTTGTTTGGGACTGTGATTGATCGGTAGCTAACTGCTAACTGACTCCAGTATCAGCACCGGATTCAGACTCAGAGATTGTGTTCGGTTCCGGGTCCGGCTGCGTGCACTGGAAGGTAGACGCTGACGTTAACGATCAATACTTTAATGTGTGTTTGACTCTCAGGATCAATACGTTTGCTGCCGGCTGTCAGCTGACTCACTGATCACTCTCCTGATATATTAATATTATTGATTGTTTGTGTGTCAGATGGGAGGTCAGGGCTACAACAACCAGTTCATGGCCCACTCCGCCCCCCGCGGCCCCCCTGGCATGGCTCCTGGAGGAATGGGCCCCGGGCCTGGACCTAACAGGGGCCCTCCCTCAATGGGCCCCATGTATGGACCTGGAGGCCCCCAGCGGGTCCCTCAGCACCCAAACTACGGCCCAGGACCACAGCAGGGCCACCTGAGGCCCCCACAGGGCCTCAAACGGCCCTACAGCTCTGAGGTGGGTCCGGAGGTCCGATACAGGAACCCAGACGGTGGATTAATAAAATATAAAACAATATAACGTCTGTTCTCCGTCCGCAGTCGTTCCAAGGAATGTCTCAGCAGTACGGCGTCCCGGTCGGCTCCGGTGTGAACGTGATGTCTGGTCCTGGTGGCGCCGGCGGTTCAATCCCAGGTTCAGGTGGAGGCGGTCACCCCGGACCCGTCCAGTACTCTGCCCCCAACATGCAGTACCATCCAGGTGAGCTGGGGCAGGTGGTCCCGGTGTTACTGCAGCCTCAGTCTCTGTCTTTATAACATATAATATATATTTCACCTGCAGGTCCAGGTGGTCCAGGCCCCGCCCCTCAGCGCTCTGGCTCCTCCCCCTCCTACCAGACCCATAAGATGCCCCTCCCTCAGTACCCCCCCTCTGGACCCCCCAACTCACAGTACTACAAGGTGAGCAACGTTGATTACGTCATCCGCGTATATAAAGACTGTCGCCATGACAGCTGTGTGTGTTGTTGTTGTTGTTGTTGTTGTTGTTGTTGTTAAAATAAGTGTGTAAACATTAAACGTGTTGTTGTTGTTGTTGTTTGTTTGTGCAGCAGGAACAGTTTAATGGTCAGGGCGGAGGTTTAAACACTCTGACAACAGGCGGCGCCGGCGGTGTCTACAACTCCTTCAACCAACCGTCTGGGGTACGTATCCATGGTTACAGTGGACAGCGCCGCTAACATTAGCCACCCTCAGCTAACAACAGGTTCAGCCTTTAGACTGTTCTGTGTGTTGTGAGGGGGCTGCAATCAGTAACTCACACACATAGTTAATGAGTTATACACACACACACACACACACATCACAGTCTGACTGATGGTAACACCGCAGTGTAGCTAGCACTGATAATATCTCCTGTGAGGAAGACGATCTCTCTCTCTCTCTGTCTGTCTCTCTCTCTCTCTGTCTCTCTCTCTCTCTGTCTCTCTTGTCTGTCTGTCTGTCTCCCTCTCTCTGTCTGTCTGTCTCTCTCTCTCTCTGCTCTCTGTCTGTCTCTCTCTCTCTGTCTCCTTCTGTCTGTCTCTCTCTCTCTTGTCTCTCTCTCTGTCTGTCTCTCTCTCTCTCTGTCTCTCTCTCTGTCTGTCTCTCTCTCTCTCTGCCTCTCTCTGTCTCTCTCTCTCTGTCTGTCTCTCTCTCTGTCTGTCTCTCTCTCTCTCTCTCTCTGTCTGTCTGTCTCTCTGTCTGTCTCTCTCTGTCTGCTCTCTCTCTCTGTCTCATATTACAGCTTCAGTCCAACCACATGTAGCAACATGCTAAACAAAGTTCAAGAGGAGGAACATTAACCAACATTAAACTCACAGCTTCCACTAACGATATGGACGCATCAGTGAGCTTACAGCTTCGTTAGGGTTATTATTATTGTTATTGTTGTTGTTATTGTTGTTATTGTTATTGTTATTATGGTTAGTTTATTATTCTCTGTGTGACCAGTTGCTAAACTTCTTCACTGTAGTTACTGTACATACAGCCTGAAGTTACAACAACAACAAGTTCTGTTGTTTGTTTGTTTGTTTGTTTGTTACAGCTGTTAAAGGGGAACTTCGGCAGATTTTTACCCTAGTCTTGATCACTAGAGGTCCCCGAGTACTGTCGATAGGAAAAACAACGACCAAAACCGGTTCTAGCAAACTGGAGATCCTGCAGCTAATGGCCAGAGCTCCCAGTTAGTTATAATACACTTCTTGGGGGCATATCCTAAAGAGTGCCTTTTGCATTAAAATGTGTGTGCAACATGATCAGGGCCCTAACGTGACAACAACATGCCTTTTCAACTCATACATTGTGCAGAAACCGTACAAACAGTACTGTCACCTACCTGTTTTTACACCGCTCGCTTCACCGAAAGCCCAGAATAATCGATCACAGAGATAATGCCTTCACGATGAAAAGAAGTTTATTTCCCCCTCAAACGTCCATGTCTTCACACACTACTCTCCGATTTGCACACTTCCTGCAACAATCTCTTCTTCTGTGTTTACCTGCAACAAGTGAAATCCCAGGGGACTTCAGCCCGGACGGTGTGGAAGTCATCCACGGAGACGATCTGGTCCGTAATGTCCCTGTGCAGCCATGTCTCAGTGAAACACATCAGACTGCACTCACGGTACTCCGGGTGGCTCCGTGTCAGCGCCGTTAGCTCGTCCATTTTGTTGCTAAGGGACCCTCTCCATAAGCCCGTCCCGTCTCGACCCTCCTCTCATTCCCCGACGTTGCTTCCCTCCTCTGCATCCCCGCTGTGTTTTCCTCCAGAGTTCAGGTGGTAGATCAGCTGGTCTGGCCACTACGCCGGCCGGCATTAGCGAGATCAGCTGTTCTCTGGAGTAAACAAAGGCGGCGTGTTCCGGTGGAAGCGACATAATAAAAACAACACGTAGAAAAGCTGTGTGCGCATGCACGAAAGTTTTTAACTTTCTTAACTTTTATTCTCTTTTGTTCGTTCTTGTTTCTTCACTGTAACTCTGTGAAGTCCTGTCCTCTCTAACGAGGTTGTTTTCAGAGAGTTTTCCTGCTTTTCTACGTGTTGTTTTTATTATGACGCTTCCACCGGAACACGCCGCCTTTGTTTACCAGGTACAAGTGCCTACACTTTCATCCTCTACCTTTCCATGACCATGAGATACTGCAGTTGTGGCTAGTTGTTCTTCAGCTGGATGTGCAAACTCCCATACAAGTACTATGAGAAAATGATCACCGTATTCGCAGCGAACATTTTGAGGAGGATGACTACAGAGACACAACACAGCGGGGCCGCTGAAGAGAAACGCCATTCTGAGGATGAAGACTGCTGCAACCACTGTGGAGGTAATGTTATATTCAGAACTTCATTTAGCTTCGTGTTGACAGACACGGCTTGAGAAGGGATGTGCGGCAACACATTTTTGAGGGGAAATAAACTTTTTTCGTGGCGAAGGCATTATCTCCGTGATCACACATCCAGCTGAAGAACAACTCGCCACAACTGCAGTATCTCATGGTCATGGAAAGGTAGAGGATGAAAGTGTAGGCACTTGTACCTTCTCATTCTGTTGCCACCATTTGGAAAGGCACAAACGCGAACCATTTCTTCTCCACAGTAGATCAACACACGTTATTCTTACTCCAAGCTTCTTCCCTTGTAAACACCTCCGATCT